CTTGAGGCCAGGAATTTGAGACCAGCTGGACAACATGGAAAACCTTGTCTCTACTAAAAATACAAAAAATTAGCTGGGCATGGTGGTGTGTGCCTGTAGTCCCAGCTACTGGGGAGGCCGAGGCAATTCAAAGAGAATTGCTTGAAACCGGAAAACAGAAGTTGCAGTGAGCCAGATTGTACCACTGCACTCCAGCCTGGCGATTGAGCAAGACTCCATCTCAAAAAACAAAAATTAGCTGGGTGTGGTGTCACCTGCTTGTAATCCCAGCTACTTGGGAGGCTGAAGCCTGAGAATTGCTTGAATCTGGGAGGCAGAGGCTGCAGTGAACAAAGATCGTACCACTGCACTCCAGCCTGAGCAACAGAGACTCTGAAAACAAACAAGCAAACAAAAAACCATAAAGTTGGGTTGAACTTTATGACATTTCCACTGTCATTTTGTTAAGTCAATTTCATATGGTTCAACCTAATATATTGGTGAAAAGAGTCCAAGGCAAACTTGGTTTCAAATCCCAGCTTCAGTATGCATGATTCAGTATACAAAATCTCAGGCGCGCAACCTTGGACAAATATACTTAACTTCTCTCTGAGCCACAGTAGCCCCATCTGTAAAATGGACATAAACATAGTCTGTATCTCAGGGTTATGGCTAAGATTAAATGGAATAATGCATGTAAGGGGTCTGGCACACTAGAATCCCAGAATAAATGGTGGCCATAATCGTGGGTGGTGGCTTTTTCCTTCTTTACTGTATTTTTCAAATTTCCTATAATATGCTTTTAAAAAATTCTAAAGCTAATAAACATAATTATTTATTTATTTTGTTTGTTTTTGTTTTTGTTTTTTTGAGATGGAGTCTTGCTGTGTCTTCTTGAGTGCAAGACAAGCTTCTGTCTCTGGCTGGAGTGCAGTGGCACGATCTTGGCTAACTGCAACCTCTGCCTCCTGGGTTAAAGCAATTCTCCTGCCTCAGCCTCCTGAGTAGCTGGAATTACAGGTGCCTACCACCATGCTCAGCTGATTTTTGTATTTTTAGTATATACGGGGTTTCACCATGTTGACCAGGCTGGTCTCTAACTTGTAACCTCAGGTGATCCACCCACCTCGGCTTCCCAAAGTGCTGGGATTACAGGCGTGAGCCACAGCACGCCAGCCAATTATTTAATTTTCAAAGGAATTGTGTTCTATTCCCTGAAGCTCTTGAGTGGGGATCTTGAGGCTGTTCCTGGGAATGTGGTTGAGGGCTTTCTTATAGCCCTGCTGCGGCTTGGGTTGGCTAAACAAAGACAGTGACCTGAGAAGAGGGCTAGATGTTTTTGCTTGGTGGGACCCTGGGAGCTTTATTTATAGAGGACACTGTGTCCCACGGCCCAAACTGCTCCCTCACTCCAGCATCTGCTGTACTGAGCCCCTCAGAGGGGCTGCTTTGACCTATCCTGTTCCTCAAACCCTGGGTCACAGTGCTCAGTGTCCGCCTTGGTCATGACAGCCTTTGGCACTGTCTTCTTCATTTAGAAGCAGTTTCTGGGTCCTGAGCACAGAAGCTAAGCTCAACTTTCATCATGTCCAATACCCAGGAGTGGCTTACAGAGTTTTGTTTTGTTTTTGAGACAGTCTTGCTCTGTCGCCCAGGCTGGAGTGCAGTGGTGTGATCATGGCTCACTGCAACCTCTGCCTCCTGGACTCAAGCGATCCTTCCACCTTAGCCTCGTCAGTAGCTGGGACTACAGGCACACACCACCACAGCCAGTTAATTTTGGTAATTTTTGCAGAGACGGGGTTTCGCCGTGTTGTCCAGGCTGGGGCTACAGTTTCTGTTTAGGATGATGCAAAAGTTTTGGAAATAAGTAGTGTAGGAAATATAGGGTACAAACTCAGTTATGAGAGTAATTCTGGGGATCTAAGGTGTAGTATGTACGGTGATGGATGTGTTCATTAATGTGATTGTGGGAATCATACAATGTGCACAAATGTCAAATCACACATTGAGTGTATACAATCTTTCTTTCTCAAATATTTGTTAAAATAGTGGGGATAATTGCACAACATTGTGAATATAATTGAATGCAATTGATGATATGGTATTGTACACTTAGAAATGGTTAAAATGGGTGGGGCATGGCGGCTCATACCTGTAATCCCAAAGCTTTGGGTGACCGAGGCTGGAGGATTGCTTGAAGCCAGAAATTGGAGACCAGCTTGGGCAGCAAAGCAAGCTTCTGTCTCTGTGAAAATAGAAAAAAAAAAATTGCTGGGTTTGGTGGTACGCTCCCATAGTCCCAGCTACTCAGGAGGCTGCAGCGGGAGGATCACGTGAGCCTAGGTGTTCAAGGCTGCACTGAACTTTGATTGTACCACTGCGCTGGACCCTGAGTGACAGTGACACCCTTGTTTCTAAAGAAAAAAAAAACTGTTAAAATGGCAAATTTTATGTTATTTAGATTTTATCACAATTTTTAAATTTATATTTTTTCTTTTTTCTTTTTTTTTAAGGAGCAACCTTATTAACTGCACCACAATTTAAGTGAGAAAAAAAAAAAGTCCAGAATGCACTAAAGGGAGAAAGTTTCATGAAATCACCTGGGACTGACTGAGCCACAAAAGGACATCTGGATTTAGGCCTGTTCCGATTCTTATGTGGCTCCATGACCTTGGATAACTTAACTCCTCTGAGGCTCAGCTTTCTCTTCTGCAAAGTGGCCTGATATGATGCTACCCTCAGAGAGTGTCATGAAGCTCAAATATGATCAAATGTGTGAGACTGTTTTGTAAAAAAAACAAAACAAAACTGAATAATTGTTCATCAGCATTGTCCTGCCGCCACCACCACAAAAAATTTAAAAAGAAAAGAAAGAAAGTAAAAGAAAAGAAAAGAAAGCCGGACGCAGTGGTTCACACCTGTAATCCCAGCACTTTGGGAGGCCAAGACAGGCAGATCACCTGAGGTCAGGAGTTCAAGACCAGCCTGACCAACATGGAGAAATCCCATCTTTACTAAAAATACAAAAATTAGTAGGGTGTGGTGGCCCATGTCTGTAATTCCGTCTACTTGGGAGGGTGAGACAGGAGAATCACTTAAACCCAAGAGGCAGAGGTTGTCATGAGCCAAGATCACGCCATTGCATTCCAACCTGGGCAGCAAGAATGAAATTTCATTTCAAAAAAAATAGAAAGCCTTATAAACTAAATACCAGAGTACATTGTTTTACTCTGAGGATGCCTGAAATGCCACATTAAGGCTGTTTGATGGGAACGTCCAGAAATAAGGAAGGGAAGAGGGGGACACTAAAGGAATCTCTCAGTCTCTCACTCCTCACCCTAAATTAGATGCTATATTTTCTATTGTATTGGCTATATTTTTCTTTTGTTTTTTCTTTTTTTAATTTCTAAAATTCAACCAGAGCCTACTTAGAACTGAGTTGGCTTTTGTGGGACCTGCAGGGAGGTGGCAGTGAGACTCAAGGTGTCAGAGAAGCGAAGGAGCAGGGACTGGGGAAGGGTGGGGTGCCGAGGAAGCACCCCCACATCACAATTTTGCCCCAGTGCTGGGGAGAAGAGAAATGTCCCTAGCTTGTCTCCTCCTCTCCCTCTCTTCCTCCTTCCTCTGCCTTCATCTTTCTCCTGGGAGATTTATTTCTGTCCCTTTTTTCATCTAAAGCAACGGAAATGAATCATCTTTCAGCCTGTTTAATAAACAGCCCCATGCCTCCTGACCCCAGCTGACTCTCTCACTGGCTCCTCTGTGGCTGCTCCTGGGCTAGGTCTCACCCCCTCAAAGGCAAGACCCCCTCATGGCTAGCTATTCTTGGTAATGTTCTCCACCCTCCCTTCCCGCTCTGTCCTGGCAGCTTGACCTCCTCCCACCCCAGGGATGACTGGAATCACACACAGCATTCCAAGCAACAATCCCACGAGCTGACCAGAGGGGCAGGGGAAGCAAGGGGGCCACCATGTTTAGAGGGTTTTTTGTGCCATCTCAATGACCCTATTAGTAGATCTCAAAATCTGCATTTTACAGTTTGAGGATTCCGAGGCTCAGAGAAGTGAAAGAACTTGCCCAAGGACAAACAGTTGGGAAATGTGGAAATGAAGGAGTCAACGTTTAAAGCCTGAATTTCTGGATTCCTGAATTCATTCCATTGCACCAGATTGCTGTGCATGTGTGTGCACGTGAGTGCTGTCACCCGCATGTGTGTTGAATAGGGATGTAGGCAGGTCAGCTAGAACATCAGCTGCGATTCACCAGGATGGAAACCTGATTTTATCTTGAAGGTTAACACCTGTCTATCATATGCAGATAACTTAATGCATCATATGCATGTGTGCATTAAGCCCTCTGCATATGATAGACAGCTATTAACCTACAGAGGAGATGGCAAGTATGTACAGTATGTATTTCACCAGGAGGCCCGTGAGTCACTGAAGATGATGTCAGGGAGTAACAAAGATAGGGGAGCAGGAAAGAGGATTAATGAAATGCCCAGATTTAAGAACACCCATATCTTTCCTTCACCTCATGGTGATCGAACGTCACAGGTTAAAGTGCATGGCTGTGTCCACCTTGGTGAAACCACACTTTGCTGGTGAACAAAATCATGCAACTATTAGTTGGACTTCTAAAAATGTGCAGGTACCATTTCTAGGAGCAATATGGAATGCAGGAATAAAACTGCTAACGCCAAACTCTCTGGTATGGCGATGTGTGTGTCTGGGGTCAGAGAGTGGAATTAACACAAATATATAAATAACCATGATGCAAGGTAGGTGGAAAGTGCTCAAGGCCAAAAGAAATGGACACATATTGTAGCAGTATTCTAGGAGGCCCAGAGGCTGCAGAGATTACTCCAGGTAGGGTATCATGGAGGGCTTCCTGAGGATATGGTATTTACATATAGCTACGTCTCCAAATAGATTTTAAGATCTTACATCAACAGCATGTTTTAAGAGAAGTTAGATTCTGGTTAATTTTCCAAGAAGGGCTGAGATGCAGATCTATGCCCCTGTTCCTCTTTCAGAGACATGGAAACTAAGACCCAGAGAGGTCTTTTAGGTTGTCCACAGCCTCGCAGCTAGCAAGTGACGGGCTACGATTTGATCTTGGGCCAGGGTGTTAGACTCCAAGTTGCGTGCTCCTGTCCCTCCCCGTGAGTTGTCGGCGGAGCCCGGGACCTGCCTGGACTGGCCGAGGGAGGGGCGGACAGTCCGGGCGGGCGGGGCGGGGCTGGCGGCCGCCGGGGCCTGGCTGAGGCACAGCGGACGGGTCGGTCTTCACCTGCCGGGCAGAGCGCACGGGCCATGGGCTGAGCCCCGCTTAGCCCGCCGGGCCGGCCATGGGCGATCGCGAGCGCAACAAGAAGCGGCTGCTGGAGCTGCTGCAGGCGGCGGGCACCGGCAACGCACACTGCGCGGACTGCGGGGCGGCAGGTAAGAGCGCGGCGGTGCCGGACCCCCGGCCGGACCCCCGGCCCGCCGGACTCCTCCCCTCGGCCCCACCGGGTCCACCCTCGGCCCCCGCTGGACCCACAGGTGGGACCTGTGGGCCAGGATCCCTACCACCCACACCGTGAACCTCCCACCCGAGCCTTGACAGCTCTCTCGGCACTCGGCCCCCGGTCCCTCAGAGCCCAGGCCCTGCTCCCCACGCGGGACCGGCGCGGATCTTCCCACGTGCTTGGACCCCGACACGAGAACCGGCAGCGGGGAGCCCTGCCGGTCTCGCTGTTTTCCCTGGCCGGCACCCGACTGCCAGTGTCTCGGCACCCAGGCGCTCCCCAAGCCCTCGGACTCAGACATCCCACACAGGGACCAGACCTCGGGCCCAGGCCCCCGACCGTCGCGTGCCCTCTGCCCGCTTCCGGAAGCCCCCGAAGGCCTCCCCAGCGCCCCACCCCGCGGTCGCCAAGAGCCCAGTGACTCAACCTCCCCACCCGCAGCTCCCCGCCGAGCCCCGTGGTGCGCCCCCCGCGCCCTCCTCTCGGTTCCCTCTGAGTCCCGTCACTTCCACATCGCGCCGCCTCAGACTCATCCCCCGGACCCTAGACTCCCTCCAGGATCTTCATCTCGGTCGCCGGTCGCCGCGCAGCGGCCGGTGGGCTAAACAGAAGATGCCAGGCTGGCCGCTTAGTTCGCCCTAGTTGGGAGAAGGGCGTCCTGCCTACCCCAGCGCCCCTAGCCCAGCCCTGGTTTCTTCGCCGCCCTTTCGGCTCAGTTCCTCTCCTGCCTCTCCCGCTGCAGACCCCGACTGGGCCTCTTACAAGCTGGGGGTCTTCATCTGTCTCAACTGCTGCGGCGTCCACCGTAACTTCCCTGACATCAGCAAAGTTAAATCCGTGCGACTTGACTTCTGGGACGACAGTATTGTGGAGGTAGAAAGGCATGCGCGTGGAGAGCCGTGGAACCACGGAGCTGGGGTGGAGGCAGTGGGCATGTGGCTCCCATTCTACAGACGGGGAAACTGAGGCCCAGAACCGGGCAAGTCTTGCCAGAGAAAACACAGCATATAAGATAGCAGCTTAAACGGAGGCCCTGAGTTCAAATTCTGACTCCATTATTTGCTTACTTTTTTTTTTTTTTTGAGACAGCGTCTTACTGTGTTGTCCAAGCTGGAGTGCAGTGGAGCAATCTCGGCTCACTGTAACTGCCGCCTTCCAAGTGATTCTCCTGCCTCAGCTTCTCAAGCAGCTGGGATTATAGGCGCCTGCCACCGCACGTGGCTAATTTTTTGTATTTAGTAGAGACCAGGCTTCACCACGTTTGTCACGCTGGTCTCGAACTCCTGACCTCAGGCGATCCAATCACCCCAGCCTCCCAAAGTACTGGTATTACAGCTGTGAGCCACCATGCCTGGCTACCACCACCAATTTCACAGCACTGCTGTGAAGATTAATATAGGCTCAGTCCAGATACAAAGAAAGTAGTCAGTTAACAATTGTTATTGGACGGGTGTGGTGGCTCACACCTGTAATCACAGCACTTTGGGAGGCTGAGGCTGGTGGATCGATCGCTTGAGCCCAGGAGTTCAAGAGCAGCCTGGGCAACACGGTGAAACCTCGTCTTTACAAAAAACACAAAAGTTAGCTGGGTGTGGTGTCATGCGCCTTTCATCCCAGATACTTGGGAGGTTGGGGTGGGAAGATCACCTGAGCCTGTGAGGTTGTGGCTGCAGTAAGCCAAGATCA